TTCCATCCACGCTGACAGAAGCGGCCTGATGAGCGTGTGGCTGTCGCTGTGGCCTGGAGGGGCCAGAGCTGACCTCCACTCCGTCCGCAGGCGTCAGCTCCGCGCTCTCAGTTGTCACAGGGGGAGTTCTCTGGCTGGCGAGTCTCTGCTGGAGGTGGTGGCACAGCGTGCTTTGCTCTGCCTGCTCCTGGGGCTGAGCTGGAGCTTGAGCTGCCTGCGTTCTGCTTCCTTCTAGGGGTTTGTGCTTTGCCACTCCATTGCCGGTGGAACGGGCTCCGGGCTGGGCTCATACCTCCTGGAGAGACTGAATGACAGGTGAGCATTCAGCCTCGTCCCCTTCCCTCACGGCAGAGCCTGGCCCAGCCTGGGCACCCTGCCAAAGCAGGGAGCTGGAGAGCGCTGACTCAGAGCCACCGCCCCCACCCAAACACTGTCTTGTGCAATCCCTGGCACACTGCCCGGGGAAGGGATGGCTCCTGATACGCCTGGGGACTTCAGGGGCTCTGAAACTGGACTCATGCTGTCCAAACTCTGCCTTCCCTCAGCCATTCTTATCAGGCAGCTGCCTTCTGACACTCTGACTTGTGCAAGGGAGGGTGGGAGGCTCTAGCTGTGGGCTCTGAGCTGCCATCCCTGCCTGTTTGAGCTTGCAGCCTCTTGAAAAGGCTTGTAAGCAGCTGCTTAATCAGCCTGCGGATGGCTCAGCCTCGCCTGTAGCTCTGTCTGGCAGCCTGCTCCTGTACTGCTAGGGTAGGCACTGCTGGGACAAATTCTCTCCCTCCCTGGGAGCCGACTCTGGCATGCAGCACTGGTGACTCACTGCTGTCCTGAACCCTGGAGACTGTAAAGGGAGCTTGTGGGAGGAGAGAGTGCTGGCTCGGTGGTGTTAACCCTTGAGATGTCTGGGCTTTCTCACCAGGTATCCCAAGAAGCTGGTGGAGACCTACTCGGTTTTCCCAAACCAGGATGAGATGAGCGATGTTGTAGTCCAGCCATACAACTCTCTGCTGACGCTGAAGAGGTTGACTCAGAATGCTGACTGTGTGGTAAGAGTCCTGCTGCATGTCAGGCCAGCAGCGCAGCCAGCTCCTGCGTGGCAGCCCTGTCCCCAGCCGCTCAAAAACGCAGCTTTCCCTGGGGCAAGTGCCGTAGCTGTGCGGGGTGAGTGCCGCAGCAGCATGCGATGTGCCTGCGAAGCCCCAGGTGCAGCAACAAGTGCACCCCCGTCCAGAAGGACTGAGCAGATATGGTGGCTCCAGGGACAAGGGCTCTACGCTAACCCCTGCTGAGCTGTCCGGCTTGGCATTTCTGCCTGCGGGATCCGGCAGATTCTTCCCATGGCAGCGAGGACTGGCTCTGCTTCCTCTACGTAGCTGCGCTGCAGTCCTTCACTTGAGCTCGATTCCAGCATCGCTTTCAGCACCCACAAGCCCCAGCCAGGCAGCATCTTCAGCCTGCACCAGGGTCTTTGGTCAGGTCCTAACCAAGACAGTACTCGTCCCTCCCAGCTTATCTCTGCATGTGGCAGGGCAAGAGCAGCTGTACCAGAGCTGCTGGGGCTGAAAGTTGCTGCAAAGTGCTGGCCCAGGGGCAGTGCTCTTTGGGAGAGCGCTGGGGAGCACAGCCAAGACAGGAGGGAAGAGCTTCCATTGACAGTGTCGGTTACGCTCCACAGATGAGTCAGCTTGTGGTTTCAAGTGTCTGCCACCTGCCGCGGAGGGCTCTGCCAGGCCGTGGCGCTCAGGGCCTATGCTGGGTGATCCGGTGCCCTGGGACACGTGGCCGGGGCTGCCCTTCCTTAGGCTGCCTCCGAGGCTCTTCACAGAGCCGTTTTTCCTCTTGCAGGTGGTTCTGGACAACACAGCCTTGAATCGGATCGCGACAGACCGGCTGCACATTCAGAACCCATCGTTTTCTCAGATCAACCAGCTGGTGAGAAGGGCTCTTCCCTCTGGAGAAGCCAGCATGGGGCTTCCCCGCTGTCTTCGATTCGGTCTGAACTTGCGGCGTGGGCTGGGCGTGATGGTGGGCAGCCTGGAGCCGTGAACAAGGGTCCTCTGACCTTCCCAGGGGCAGCCTCCACGGGAGCTCCAGCTTCCCCTGGCACGGCTGTGTGTGAAGCAGGTTTTGAACGTGCTCTGCGACCACACGGTGACACAGACGCTGACTCCATCCTCTTCCCCCAGGTCTCCACCATCATGTCTGCCAGCACCACCACGCTCAGGTATCCTGGGTACATGAACAATGACCTCATCGGGCTGATTGCCTCGCTGATCCCCACCCCCCGGCTGCACTTCCTCATGACCGGGTACACACCGCTCACCACCGACCAGTCGGTAAGGCAGCCCGCCAGGCACTCCTCCCCTTCCCTGAGGGCAGGAGGAGCTGCCATGCTCACCTTGTAAGAGCCGTCAGTCCCGCGGTCTTGGTGTGAGCTGCAATTGCGTGTTCCAAATGCCAGGCCCGTGTGCCCACACCACGTGACAGCCGCATGTGATATGAATCAGATGTGAGCAGTCAATCGTGCTTGTGCTGGGCTACCTGCTGCATGCATCAGGATGGCTGCAGCAGCTGTGGGAGGGACAACAGATCTGACAAAAAGCACCTTTAGAAACGATCGGAGCAAGCCCAGCAAAGCAGCCCTGCCAGTCCTGCCACCCCAGTGGGCCACCGGCCCAGGCCATTTGGGTCAGAACACTTGGTCATTGTCATGCCAAGACTGGTCGTGGGCTCCAGGTGTCGGCCCCATCCTGGGGTTTGATCTGTGTTCTGGGAGAGGATTGCCGCCCCTCGGCTGTACCGAACACTACCGCTTGCGTTTAGCTTGTCCCCAGCCAATGCTCCCTCAGCCCCCCCGGTGAGAACGGGGCAGTTCTGTTTCGAGAGGCACTCACCTGCGTTGGCCGCGTCTCAGTTCTGCTGGGAGCTAACAGCTGCTGTTCTCCTCTCGTTGTGTGCATTTCCTCAGGATGTTACTCAGAGAAGCAAATCTGAAAAACTGTTGGCTCTGAAAAGGGTATCGAGTGTGTGATCTGTCCTCCCAGGGAGGAGTGGGGG